CATTAGGCACACACTCTCTGTCTTCAGTGTCAAATGTGACCGTCTTTTTGTCTGTCTTTTTTTCCTGAAAAGACATCTCTGTGGGCTCTGCAAGGAAAACTGCTGTCCCTGCTGATGTTTAAAACCTGTCTGATCACATCACAAAGCCGTAATCGAGTACAGTGTGCCTTTCAGTACTTGTAGTGTGTCTTTCTCTTTGGAAATGACACTCACCAAGGAAGGTCTAATGACAAAGGGAAGCTCATGGGGTTCATTACTCTGCTGCATCACAAGTTTTCTTTCCTCTGTTCCCCTGGGCAGAGGCAGATTTATTCTACTGTTGACATTTAAGATTCAGAAAGGTACAAGAAGGTTTTTCTTCTAAGCATGTAGGTCTATGTTTTTTGGTTTGGCAAACCTGTTCTGTGGAGAGTGCAATGAATGTTTAAACTCCTTTCTCTTTAATCTCTGAACAGAAATCTATAGCTGATGCTACAAATTGATTTCCAGTCTAGTCATGCTCTTCCATTGCCTATTAATATTTACATGCTGTTCTGTCCCCCCAGTGAAACAGTGTTCCACCTTCAGTAGATTCCTGGGCAACAGGAACAAGAAGGATTGATGCTGGTTGAAAAAAACAATTGTCCAGGATTTCCCTGGAGTGCCTGTCTCCATTTTTGATTTACTCCATTTTAAGAGAGAGAAATCATCAAAGCACTCTATGTAATAAACTAAGATTATTAGTAGGTATGCACTGATGTTTAATTTCAGATATATATGGAAAATAGTTAACTAAACAGAAAAAAATTTAAAATAATTACCTTATTGACATGATCTCCTCTAACTTGGATGATTTTTTTTTCCATATCTAAGGCTATTGTATGCCTTTGCACATCTGTGTGAATCTGTGCAGCATTATGTGTTGTTACATCTTGGGAAACGTGAAATTGCCCTTTGAAATCTAATTCCTCCATCATAGCTACTGGCTATGATTGCTTTCCACTGTATATCATGTTCTCTCACTGGGCATTGGTCACTTTCCTCCCAAGTTATTGCTCTGCAATCTGATTTTAATTTAGCTCTCCTAACAAAGGAGAATTAAAAAAATAATTAAATGGAGGAGCAACTAAAACTGATTAGAACCCAAATTTATTAAATTCCATCATTGATCATTTTCACTTTTGATAATTCCCTAAGGAGAAGATCACTTACATATGAGAGAATGAGAAAAAAATCTCTTTATATAAAAAATTAGTATGTAGGGAAAAAAAAAATCCTCAGGGTTGAGAATAGTGTGGGAGCATCAATTCTTTCTTCTTTGCTCTGTTGCCAGTTTGGAATTTTGTCTTTGTGCTTTTCTGGGGGAACAGTGTCTTTTATTCAAGCAGCTCACCTTGTTCTGCCTGTCACTGATTTGAAGCTCCCAGAAATAAAAAGACTGGGGGTTATCCAGCTCTTTTATTCCTTCCAGAGGTGATAATATCCACTGCTGAAATGCAGCGTGCTCTGTCTTGTGTCTGATGTCACTCACCAGGAGTTCGCTGCACCTCCCTGCTATTGTGCTTCCCCAAAACTTCAGGGTGGGGGTTTTTTCTGTGCTGAGTCTCTCTGATGGGAGATATTTCCCTTCACTATGATATTTTCAGACCTGCTGCTTCAAAAGTGGGCTCACCTACTGATGTCTGATGGGTTTGAGTGGGGGGAACATATGGTCTTCCAGTGATAGGCATTGGGTTTCCCTGACCTGTGAGCAACCCAAACTTAAATTCCCATAAACAAACCCAGGTGTCAAATCAAAATCTAGCAATGAGCTAATCCTGGGTAGTGGAATTAGTTGAAAAGAACCCTTAATTAGTCTAAACATACCTTCCTGACTCAGTACTCTGATATTCTGTACACCCATTGTCATTTTTCCTTCCTCTTTCCCACTCCCAATTTAATTTGCTGTTACCTTCCATAGTGGATGATACTTTTGTACCTCTTAAAGAGCTTTGATGCTCATGTGCTAAAGCATTCTGCAAATTAAGGAGCTAAAGTGCTTTAGTATGTAGGAGTCATATTTAACAAACAAGATATTAAAGTAACTTGGAACTGATGACACATCACCATAATTGCTGGGATAGTCTGCAAGACTAGGCAAGAATTGGCCCTTGAAATAATCATGTTTTTCATTTAATTACAGTAACACTTTCAGGATCCAAGGGAAATTCTTTTTAGCAGTAAAACATTTACTGACTCTCAGCTTCAGGTGAACATTTACATTTTTGGTGACATTCTCTTTATAGAGAGGAAGAAATAGGAAGAAATCCCAGCAAAACTTTTCCATAATGAGCTGTTTGAAGAATGGGAGCTATGAACTAGAATGTTTTGGTTTTTTTTTCTGAATCTGACTGAAAACATATTTTAAAAAAATACTTAGACAGGAAATGAGGTTCTCTGTTTTTAATGACAGTGAAGTTTTATAATAATTTTTGTTTAAATTTGTTTTGAACAGGTTTTACAATACCAATGATAAGACAGTACAAAAAAAGTTTCAAATATAAAATAGTATTGAAATGAAACATACAAATGTTAAAACAAACCATTGGGGGATATTTTGCAGACCAAAGTCTTATTTTTGCTGGATACTGAGTGTTCATTTATGTCCATATCATGATATTTAAAAAAAATTTCTTTTGAAAAGTCTCTTGACAAATGACTGCTCAGCATCCCAAACCAGAAGGATATTTTCTTTTGTTCATTTTGAAAGCTGGGTTTTAGCTGGAAAAACATCCAGTGGGATGCATTAGGCTTTCACACATCAGGTACCTCATTTTCAATCTGACCCTAATTGTAGGTGTTGAGTGTCAGAAATTATGGGTCTGAGTGAAGCTCCTCTCAGGTTGTAATTTCACTTGCTTTACTGTTGCTTCATAGAGCAACATCTGCACTTTTTTGGAAAATTTTCACTTAATTTTCCTTCTTCCTAGAAGTGAAGGTTGATAAAATTCTCCAGAGTTTTGCATCTTTAAATTTTCTTTTAAGCTTTATAACAATAATCTGCTTAACTTCTGAAAACCTCTCTCTATGAGAATACTTCATTCATAACATTGAGATAGAACAGTTTTCAAGAATAATCAGAAGAAGTGAGGACTTTTAATTATGTTTCTGCACTATCTTCTTTCCTCTGGAGTCTTCTCAGACGTGTTACTCCACACAGCACTTTGCTGACACAAGGACATTTTTAAAGATTTAGGACCAGTTGTGCCTCTCTGAATTGAGCCAATGAGCTCAGATTTTCAAAATAATAAATACTATAAAAACCTTTGCAAGGCAAGAAAATTACATAGGGATTAAAGTCCAGAAATGGTCACTTACTGCAAAGAAAGATTTTTTTTTTTCCCCCTTTAAAAAAATCTAAATCAGAACAACAGTAATTTATAAGTAAATAAGTAATTTCTATCATAGTAAGCGAGTGCGGTATTTTTAGTCCAAAGACTAATATCGGGTCCCTGCAGGGCAGGTTGGAATTAGAGAATCTATAATCCCTTCCAACACAAACCATTTTTCTATGATTGGTATTTGGTTTTCTGTGGAAACCCAGCAACCCAAATCCTGTTATTTAAAGGTAGTAAAACATGTTCATTGAGAGGACAAAACAGCCTTTAGCTCTCAATCTTACCATAGCCTAATCATTCACTTGCCTTGGTCTCTGGAAAAGCATGTCCTGATTTTTGAAGATGTGAGCTGGCATCAGCTTTTCAGAGGTTGCCATTGCACCTGTTGCCTGAATAAATTCCCATTGAATTAGAAAGATGTTGCTGTAGTGTATCTGCCAAGAGATATAATTTCCTGGCAGGACTTCCTGCCTGCCAGCTAACTCCGTATGGAAATGTGTTTTGTGCTAAAAATCCACGGCTTGTCATAGTTTAGGGGTAGCACTGAAATCCTGATTCGGTCAGGAGGAGACACAGTCCACATAAGGGGATATTCATAAAGATATTGCTCCAGGCTACCCAAGCATCTTGTCTCTCCTCCTCCCTCAGTCCCTCCCTCATCAGCTATTAAAATATTCAGGCCAACAGCCTCGTGGGTCTGGGCATGTTTGAAGCAATGAACCTCAGCACAAAAAGGGGTAAAAGGATAAATGTTCCCATGGCAATGCCTTTAGAGTGCATGCTTCAGAAGCAACATTTGTCTTATTGTTACTGTCATGTCAGGTGCTGTCAAGCCACCTTCTGTCTTCTGTACAGTTATTGAAAAAGTTAATTAGTCCAAAGGGAAACTTCTTTCATGTGGACAAGGCTCATGAAAAGATTGCTATTTATGGCCTCATTTATGAATGGTTTCATCATGGACAGGTTTTTGACTGCTCTTATTTAATATCAAGAACCCTTTTCAAGAATTCCTTGAAAGAAAGCAAAACAAAGCAAAAGAAGTGTTTTATCACTTCTATCCTTAATTTTTTATATAATAAAATGTCATAAAATGCCATTTTATAAAATAAGATGCCACAAAATTTAGCAGGACTGAAGATCTTCAGCCTAATTCAATATTTAGAGTGAAAAGGTTTCTTTTGGCAATTTAGATAAAGTGTAAAACAATAAAGTGGGAAAGAATCTGTGACTAGTACAAGAGTTTTAGCTGGATTTATATTTACATGGAAAGCATTGTTTATGGACAGCCCAGGAGGTATCTCTGTTCCAGTGCCTTTTCTTTGCTAGTAGTCAGTATTGGATGCTTATGCTTATTTGGCAATAATATAGAGACTAAAAAGTGCAGAGTTATATTTTTTTCTACTTTACACTCTCAATCCGAAGTGCAGAAAGTTATATATGAATTTTAATAGCCTTTGATGGAATTCCTAATTGGGTTTTGAGGTAATATATTTTCATTTCCACATTTTCTCATTTATCCCTTTATAATTCCAACATCTCGTGGCACTGAATCTGCAATATAATATATATAATATAATATATCTGCAATATAATTATGTCTTTTCTGAAATAAAAATCAGGATAAAACATCTGCACAAAAGCAAGTAGTGATAGAGTAGTATGTTTATATTTAAGGTTAGAAACTGGATGAACAGTCTCAGTCGTTTCAGCCAGATGTTTAGGGGCAGCCTGAAAAAGGAACACGAGAAGTTTATCAGAAAAAGTATAAAGTAAATTTTCAGATGACTGAACTTAATTGCCCAGGTATTTTCCTACAATAGGTTCCTTTTTCCCCTCTAACTTTTAAACCAGTGATGGTACATCTTTCTTTATACAAACCATGAAAAATTAGGGAGCACAGCTCCTGCCAGCATTAATTACAGCAGTTATGAAGTCAAGGGACTGTTAGGAAAGAGGCTCTTAAAAAGCATTTGTAACTTGTAAAAGAAGGACTGATCTGCTGTTGCCATTAAGAGTCTCATATTTTGAGAATTTGTAAATCCTACAGGCTACATGTAGGAAACACCATTTTGGCATCCTGGAAAATTGCCAGTGGAGTTTTAGTGTGTTCTCTTCAATCTGTGCTTGTGGACACAAGAACAGACTCATGAAATACCTAGGGGCATTTTTATTTCCTGCCTCATCAGAACGACTGCTCTGCTGTATTTAGCTTTTCAGTTGACTAATTTGTAAACACTTCCCACGAACTCTGTAATTAATTGGCAGGCAAGACTACAGCCTGGCTGGAAGTAATTGCAGATTACTCTTAATTGTAAAATCAGGCTTTGGGTGGGTCGTTTAACACATATGCAGATTAGAGGCAAATATAAGCAATAATTAACCTGTGAATGTAAACAGTGCCTTGCTTTGGAAGGTGAGTGCAGAATTATTTTGCTTGTCCAAATCTCCATGCACTCCTATTTTTAGGCTGGAATACAGTTCCAAGGGCTGTGCATCCATGCAAAGGCTCTGAGGAAGGGGAGAATATTGTCAGAGTTTCCATTAATAATGCGAGGTAACCACAAACTCGAGGCATTCCTCACCTGACAGCCACCCAGCCCAGTTCCACCCCTCCCAGCCACACTCTGTCTCCTCTTATTGCCAGCTGGAATAAATCAAAAGCTGCAATGAGTCAGCAGAGCTCAGTGAGCGCTTCTCTGTAGGACTGCAGCCGCTGTTGAGCAGCCTGGGCCTGCAAAAAGCACCCAGCCTCTCGTCAGGGAGATGGATTATTATGTAGATATAATGAGATTGTGATTTAAATGGGTATAAATCAAGTGAGAATCAACCCCTGCAAAGCTGACTGGTTGAATTGTTGAATTCATGTCCTTGTTCTTTACATACTTCCCTGCAGCATCCTCCAAGGTAGGTATGCATTGTCCATTCAGACTGTTTATTTATTGGTTTATGGAATGGCCTGTGTCCTCAAAATTTGTTTTGATTAACATTCCTGAAGAACTTCCTTATATTTCAAGCTTTGAGTGGGTCTACAATTTATTTATGCTGTACATGAAATTTGCTATTTCTGCAAGCATGGCCACGTAGTGCTTTAGTAATTCCCATGTTTTTCAAAGTTTGATTCCCCCAGAAGCTGCTTACAGAAATGATGGAAACTTTATCTAAGTAATCATGTCATAAATATTTAAATGACAGCTACTTGAAGAACATTGTGCTGTCAAATGGCTTTAAAGATGTTTCTGTGCAACCTCAGCAAAAATGACTAGTGTGTGTGACATTCCAGCTCTGGTATGTGATATTTGGCTGAGATAAATTGGCAGATTTTGGTGGAGTTCTTTCTATAAAACTACTTTCTTGGAAGTGCACAGTCATACATTAAGCTTGTGTTTGAGTAAAACCTTGTGATGATTTTTATGACTTATCTGTTGAGAATATAAATCAAAATCATAATTATGGAAAAATCATGGATTATCAGAGTCTATTACACATTGGGTAAGTTTTCACAGCTTATTCTAAAAAATTCATTTGAGCTTTACTTTGGAGTTTTTTTTCTGTGAGATAATGGGTACTTTATGGAAGAACTTTTCAAGACTGGTTTAAGAGAAAGGATGAAGGTTAATTTTTGTGCATCTTATTGGACAAAAAGTGTGCATTCTGACTGGAAATGAAACCAGGACACAAAAATAAAAATAGGGAATGATGCTGGTGAATCATATATTATGACTTCGTAAATTCCACAAAAAGAATTTAATTTGAAGAATTTTGGAAGTAACTCTCCACTATCAGCATTGAAACTGATTCTTATTTAAAAGAAAGAAAGAAAAATGAAAATATTGTAGCTTTCCTTTGACCAGAATTATCTATAGCCTTCTAACTGTGATTAGTGTGTTTATTATAGTGCATCTATTAGTCACTAAATTAGTCATTAAATTTGAAAATGTAGCTAATCCCAAAGTGAATTTTAAAATTTCTATTTAATTTCAGGCTGCTGTAATTGGATTATAAAAAATCATGAGTCATTACATTAAACACTGGGATTGCCTTTGACAAGGTGCCCAGTAAAAGCTGTTTTGTTAGTAAATTTAATGACAAAATATCTGAAAATCTATAATGGTGTATAGATGGACAATATCAAGACTGAAAGATAAATCACCTGAATTACTTGCTGGACTAAATGTAATAATTAGCTATTTATTAACTGGCTTTTACTGTCATTCTGATATAAAATTCTAATCACATTTATGGATGTTTTGTCAGTTACAGTATAATTTTACTGGAGCTGTTAATTTGGGTGAATCCAGTAAAATATATTTTACCCAAACACAATTTCTGTCTGAGTTGGCTGTGAAACACTGCTGCTGATTTGAGTGTTTGAGACCTGAAATACAAAATTCAGGCTAAATTGTGTGAATCAAATTATTGCAGTTCTCTGATCTTCGTGCCACAGCTCTTTAAACAAAGTATCATATAAATACACTTAATTATAAACATTCAGTGTCCAAAATGTACATAGTGCTCAATGGAGCATAAAATTGAAGTGTTATCTAAATAAAGTCACATGAGGGATGCAAGGCCAGAACAGGCTTGCTTTGAACCCAGTAGTGCAACAGCTGCAATGCCCACACAGCAATTTATTATCTGTTTGGTAACTTTTCATGGCTGGAATCTTTCTTACCCACTTGTGTCCCAGTTCTGTCCTGCCCTGTAATGATCTGTACACATCAAACTTTGTACCTGTCCTGAGTGCTTCCTTTGAGGTATCCCCTTTATTTCACATGGAAATGCCATGGCTTCTGTGGTTTATGTGTTATGCTCACTGGTGGACTGCTTTTCCAATTCAGGATATTCAATATGCTGCAAAATTCACTGGAGACAGTTCATCCAAGGCTCCTGTTTATCTCTTTGGTGGATTGGTTTTCTAAATGTAGGAACGACATGTAGCTACGTACTTTGCTCTGGGTTAAAAATGCATTTGGTAACCAGCAATGTGGATGAGTTAGAACCTTCCTGCAAGTTTGCCAAGCTGGCAGTTCTGGGGATTGGTGTGCAAATTAGGGTGCTTGGGCATCCTATTTACAGTTCTGTTCCTCACAGGTGTTAGGGGACTAAGAATGTTCTTTACTGCTAATTTTTCACTTTATCTTTTCTTTCTCTTTTCTCATTATTTTCCTGTCCAGGCAGGGAATTGCTGTGCTTTATATTTAGGCAGTATCATTTCAGCTGTCTTTGGCTGTGTCTTCTCTGGCCTGTTCTCCCTTAAAAGTAGTAGCACAAATAGTCTTCTCAACTACCTGTTGCACATGTTTTAACATTCAGAAATAGGCAGATTTTTTTATTTAATTTTTTTCATATTCTTTTATTTCATATGTTATTTAATTTTTTTTTGTCTCAGTTTTAGTATGCACAGTACATTCTATCAGGTTCACTTTGAGAATTGTTCCAAAACAAGGTAAGGTCCTGGCTGCAGGGCCATGACTCAATAAAATTTTGGGTTCAAAACCTCCTTGTCAGCAGGAAATGAAAAACACCCTTCATTTGCTCAGGCATTTGTGTCAATGAGAAATGAATCACTCAATTGGCAGCAAATCTGGCACAAGTCCTATCCCAGTATCAAGTGGTTGTATATTTATTTTAAAAAAAAGTTAAAAAAATGGTCAATCTCATTCCTACTGCTCAGGTATAAAACACAGCAGGCTTAGCTCTGAAAAGCTTGGAAGAGAGACACAAGTTTTTTCTTCTCTTTTGTTTTCCTTTTCCCATTTTACTGAGGGTTCTTTATCTTTTATAAAAGACAATAAAGCAGTACTGCCTCCCATAATATTATAAATTATTTTAAAAATTCATGGGAGAGGAGGATTAGGAGAGGAGGATTTTATCTCATGATCTGACTTCAAAATCTTTGTTGCCCTCTGAGGTGGCACCAGCACTGGTGGTATTTTCAGCATGCACAGTTCCAGGAAAAAATTGCCATATTTTCATAGCTTCAGAGATTCTGATAAGCAAGTCTTTTGTGGACTGTCCAACACACCATGATCTGCACTCCACAGATGTCAGTCAGTCTTGCTGCACTTCCCATTTCAAAGTCAGCAGCAAAACTGGTGGTGTGAAAATGTTTCTGTAGAAATAGATTTCCTGGGCAGAGTCCATGTAAAATGAAACCCAGAAAATATATGAGCATAATTCAGAGGATTACATGGCTTTTGAGGAATAATTTATTGTATGGATTTCATTCGCTGCTCATGTTGTTTTCCCCTCCAAGCAGGAGCTGCAAATAGTTGTTTTTTCTTAGGCTTCTTTGCAATTCAAAAAATTGGGCTGATAACTTTCTTTCAATTTAAAGAGTCATCAGGGAAGACTGGTTGACATGAAGGGAATGAAAATTATGGGTCATATTCAAATATTCAGGAAAGCTGAAGTTCATAAACACAGGGTCAGTCTATGTGTGCTCTTTGATGTTCCTGTGATGCCTGAATCTGCCTGGTCAAATCAGGCTGTTCCTGGATCAGCTGAGCAGATGTTTAGTTACAGCTATTTACCTCTGCCAACTTGCATAAAAAATTTATTGGCTATTGGTCAATGGCAGAAAAAAAAAGTGGCTTAAGCAATTAATTATAATTTAGTTTATAAACATTTTGCAGTGAGGTTTATATTTTAATTTAGTGCTTGTGAAGAATAGCATTGTAATATTCTTTTTTTTTTTTTTAAGATTAATACTGATTTATATCTGTTTGGAAATGCTCTGACCTTGGTTTTCTGAGGACAGTGCTGCAGATCTAAGGAGAAACTTTTTTCTTCCCCCATTTCCATTTTGAATTGCTCTTTACCATGCAGAATGCAGATTTAATCTTCCAAACCAAAGGATTTGGGCATAGGCACGCGTGCAATGTTCCTTTTCTGATGATGGAATGATGTGTTTCCTGGTAGATACCCTGCAGACAGTATGGGGAAGCCTGGTGGGCATTTCTGCTCTGCTACTTCCACTGGCCCCTGGTGATTTTTTTTTTGGGAGGTTGTGAGTCTGTTTCTTTCAGTTTATAAAAAAGAGATGCTTTAGCATCTTTAAAATAAGATGCTATTCAGATTTTCATCCAATGTCCACACAAAAAAGAAAGAATTTTTCAGTTACACCTCTAAATATCTGTGGGTGAAATTTGTATCAAGATTATTTCACATAAAATTCATATGAAATCCTTACCTGGCTGGGCTTAATAACAAAATTGCCCTGTTCAGCAGGGTTGGGCTGTAAGTACAAATTCATATCATATTGCCATTCTTCACCTATCTCTTCCTTCTCCTTCCTCTGCAAAAACTAAACATGTTAAAATTTTTGATAAAATGTTGAGATATAAAGACTGCTAAATTGGTGTTGAATATACTTTATTTTTTAGGTCACCTAGGACAATAAGAGAAAGATGTCACTTGTAGCCAATGAACTCTAAATCCTTTGAAAAAAATGCATAAATAGCATAAACTTTTGATAACTGGCATTCTTGATCTGTGGAATACTACTGAGCACCCAGGCTTGTGTAACTCTGAAATAAATAATCCATGTCTCTCTTGTGTAATTGTTGCCTTGCTGCATACTGACTAACAAATCCAAGTTTTGTGGGCAACACTAATAAGAGCACAGCATGAAAGCACTCCTGAGGAGCTTTTGTTGGTCCAGAACCTTTGTTTCTTTTCTGTAATTGACAAATGTAGAAGTGATAGCAAAGTTCAGGGCCCAGGTGATCAGTGGCTTTCTCTACTTGGTAATAATTGAATTCAGTTGATGTTCATGTTGGCTTGAAGCCTTGTGTCTTGAGACTCCAAATGTATCTTCCCACACAGATGTCCTGGGATTCAGCAGTATTTCAGCACTGAAATTTCCTGGCAAATTTCTCCTCTCAACTCCTTATAAAATAATTGAAGGACAAAATGATTTAAAATCATATATATGAATACCAGTTTACCATTCGGTGTCTGATTGGTGTTTATGAGAATAAATAATGTGTTAAATATCAATCAATGGTCTCCTCATTCTGAATGTCTATTTTGTGTGTGTCTGTTTTGAGGGTTGTCCATCTCTATAAAGTTTTTTGTTTGTAAATTTTGTAATTGAACATTTTCACCTCCTCCTCCTTGAGTTTTACATAAAGGGAGAAAAGAATAGCACAAAGATTGCAGCTGGGCAGTAATTTTGAAGTGTCCCCCTTTTCCAAGGATACCAGAGCCATCCATTTAATTGTCTACTACTGATTTTCCTTCTTATCCACATGCAGGATATGAAGATTTTCATCACAATACCATTTTTTAAATTGCTGATTTTAGAAAACTGCTTTACCTTCTCATCTTTCTGTGTTATTCTACGTGGAAAGTAATTTTGACATCAGGCTTTTTAATCTGTTTCACTCTTTTTTGCTAACTATGTAGGATTAGAACCATGTTTCATCTCTAGCTGAACTACTTCAGTGTTTGTTTGGAGCTAGGAAGCATTATTTTTCCTCACCAAATGATATGGTTAAAAACAGGCATGAAAGACTGGATGAAAGCTTCTGGGAATGAGTTGTGGATGTGACTTTTTCATTTCACTTGGCATTCATTGTAGATAACCACTGAGATTAAGTTTTATGCACTACTGATGTTGCTGACTTGAATTATGAAGGGATATGATAAACTATGGAACTTGAGCTGTAGCTGTGGACATCAAGAAAAATACAATATAGATGGAAGATGTGTGCAAAGGTTCTGCAACCAACAGGAAGAGGGAGAGCAGATGGAATTTAAAAACTTTGGCAGAGGGAAGAAAACAAACCTTTGTCGGGATTCTTCTTAAAATTAGTGCAAGGCATTGAATTAGTGGTGTGAAATAGAAGTCTCTGGAAGCTGGGTGCTTAAATTACGTATTTAGGTAATTTGTTTGCTCTGGTTTATTACCTTTGCATTTCATTTTTATTTTTTAAAATTTTTAACACAGTGCTGAAGATGGGAACAAGAAATAAAGCGACAGGGGAGGGAGACTGTAAGAGTTACCTTGCGATAATTCCCTACGTGTGCCTATTTTAAAGTGATGACCAAAATTCATTATCTTTGTCTTTTCAGGCTTTAGATGAAAAGCTTGTAGCAGCTCATATCTGAATATGTAATTAATCTTCTATTTTATCTTTTAAACTGTGAGAAACTAGGTCAGATTTTGAAGTGTTCCCTCTCCCGCAAACACCAATCAATCAAACCCTCCCTCAATCAGACCCTTTTTCTTCACTTCCATCCAAACACTTTCCCCTCCTACTTTTCCCTTTGAGGACCTTGCAGGCACCACAGGGGTTTTCCTTTCACAGCTTTTACTCCTCAGATGCTAAAGGGGGTTCCAAGGTCCCATTAAAGTGTCACCAGAGCAGCAAGAAGAATTGCACCTGTTTTCTGTCTAAAATACACCACCAGGGAGAAGGGTTAATGAGCTGTGCAGGGATAAATAATGGTGGCCAAAAGGATGGTTTTATAATGTTAGCACTTAAGTGTTTTGAAAAGGTTTGAAATTGCAGAAAAACATGTATTCAAAATGTATGAGGAGGGAAACTAAACCTTTTCCTGGCATAATGATAGTTGTGTGGGAACCTCTGTACATCATCACTGAGCTGTGAGGAGCCTGCACTGTGAGTCACATTAGAAATTACTTGGAAAATGGATGAAAATGTGGCTTTGTTCATCAATGTGCACTGTATATACAATCCTAGTAACTAACCAAGCCACCATGACTAAAGCAACCTCCTAAAGAGACACAATGGACCATTTCATTCCTCATACAAAGCAAAATTCTGGGGATTGTTAGGTCCTGTCTAAGGGAACATTTGGTACAGTGCATGATTTGTATTAACTTGTTTCCATAGTCTTTGTGAGTCATGCTATTCATCCCCCATGACTAAGCAGCATATTTCTGAGATTTTTCTTCTTTAATTTATAAATGTGGCATATAAATATTTATATGCTGAAGAGAAAGTTAAAAAGTAGCTACTGATGCCTAAAATCTCCATTGTGAGGAACGATACCTGAATTTGAAAATTCCTTTATGAAACAAGATAAAAGTATCAGCTAGGTAAGAGAAACAAAAAGCAAAAAATTTATTGCTCCCTAGGTAAAATCTTTAAATGGAACTGGAAAGTTTTTGACAGACATATGTGCTGACACATCTGTGAATTGTTTTGACTCAACATGGGAACTACTGGATGACTTTCTGTGGCTGTTGGAACTCAGCAGCTCAGCCAGACCATTTTAATTGGGCCCTCCTATGTTGGTGGTGGCTCCTCACATGGGACAGCATTTGACAGAGGACACACAGCTGACACTGAGAATGGTTTCAGGCATCAGCAGTTTATTATTCCCCAGTGCAACCTTCCATACCCTGTTTCTCACATGCATAACACCTGTTCCCTTTTACTGTTTTGTGGTTGGCCAATACACCTCAGCATTCCGTTCTCCTTCACTGCTGTTAGTTTGTCTTACACAGCTGCACCCCATTCCCTGTGTCCCATAATGTCTTCTCCTACACTCCTACCTCTAAAATTTAGAGGGAAAACCTTGTTCTCGTTAAGCCATGAAAGTTCCTGCCAGTCTCAGTGTAACTGGCACTGTGCCCTATGAATTGGTCATAATATGCATGTAAATACTATATAAATTTGCTGTTTTGATGGGAAATGTTTTTTATGGCATGCTAGAGATTTACAATTTTTAAACTTCACAGGTGATTTCTTGGGAAGCTTTGTAAATTTTTCTGGTATATTTACTTCCTAAGAATGTTGAAGAGGCTTGTTTTTTCCCTTCAAAAGACAGAAATGAAGCATTAACTGTCTGCAGTTTTTGGAGAATATTCTCCATATTGAAGTTTCCTCTGTAAGGCTGAGCTGTGGAGGCAAAGCAAGAAACTGCATTAGAGGAAAACTTAGAGGAAGTAAAATACAACACAAAGAAGGAAATATAAGCCATACTACAAATATGACACTCATTAAAATGTTTTTCTTACAGTTCATGCTGGAAATAAAGGCTGTTGGTGTAAAGAATTTTAGTGGCAGAAGCAGAATGCTTTAAAGAACATCTTTTGCGAGTGTTGACATTGTCATCTTTGATCATTGTGAAGCTTTAAATGTGTTTGGAATGTAGTATGTTAGCAGGACCATGATCTGGAGATCCTATTTGAATCAGAGACCACTTCAGGAGACAGAGTTGATATGCCTGAGGGGAAAAAAATGGAAGGATGTTGATGGTAATATTTATTGTTGAGCTTAGCTTGATTTTATAAACTGCTTTATACATAGTTGAAATTGGACATCTTCTGGAATAGCGTTGCTGGAGTGTATTTAGCTCCTTCAGCAGGATTCAACAATATCTATATATAGTAGGAAGATATAAATCTGTGGGAAAAAAAAAGTACAGTCTACAGAGAATGAGTGCCTTCTGAGAGGAAGGGAAGAGAAATAACTAAGCAGAGGGAGACTTCAGAACAGCTCCCTGCGTGATTCAGAGATGCCTTGTGTTGTTACAGGTTCTTTCTGTGTCATAATTTACAAGCTGAACTTAACACTCTGAGTATGTGGCAGCAGTTGTCTGTGCCTCCACCACTTCCATCCCACCAGGGCCCTTCAAACACATGCTAAATAGAATGAGAATTTGCTGGCTGAAGGGTGATGGAATTGCAAGCGATTTGAGGATTATTGTTTCTTCATAAATCTACCTCAAACCTGCCTCCCTACTCCCCTGGCAGAGATGGAAGAACAGCCTGTTACTCTGTAAAATACAGATTAAAATCAGCAGTGTTCAGGCAAGAACTGAGATGATGAAATATCCAGCTTCAGGAGCAGGATTGCCTGCCACTCTGCTCACCATGATTTGTTGATTCCTCTGCACTTTGCCAAAGTAATTAATGGAGAGAGCAATTTATAAACGAAAGAAGGAATAAGAGTATCAGTGTGACACAAAGTGACCAACTAGACCTTGAGTTGTTGGGGGTAGTTACTTCCTGGCATTTAATCTCATGTGCCTGTTCTACTGCTAATTAAACAGCTGATGGGCTGGTTCCTGTTTAGGCATGGTCACATTAAACAGTAAGGCTTAGCCCTACAAAACAATAACATTCCCAGGTTGTGGTTTAGCACAAAAAAGAGGTCTTCATAGATAATGCTGGGTCTGATTTGGTTTACATTTTTGCAGGTCAGGTGTCTTTGGCAATAGATTATCATCACCTGCTTTTACACCTTTGTCATTCACCGGTTTTTGCAGCAGAACAACTTTACCAAAGTTTTTGTAGGGGCTGTTTAATTATTTTTATTGAAAATTTAATTTTTTTTGTAATTAAGTTTTGAAAGCAGCACTGTTACATCTAAGATATCCCGAGAGATGCTCATTATTCTCTTATTTGGGTGTTTGAAGGTAGAGGGATAGATCAGACATTACACCAGTAGTAAAAGCAGAAGGCATTTGTTGGTGTCACTACCCTGCCTTGACTTTCTGGCAGCAAACCATAATCATATATTCATGTGATAAAAGTGTGAAATTTTGTGAGACCATGAATATTTATCAGAGCACAGAGGGGTCCATGGCCAGGCTCCACTTTTCTGTGTGCTGACTGAGTAAAATCATAAAATATCCTGAGTTGAGAGGGACCCACAAGGATCATCAAAGTCCAGCTCCTGGCCCTGCAGAGGACAACCCCAAGGATAACTCCATGTACCTGAGTGTTTCCCACTGCTCCACGTGCTCTGACCAGGAAAACCTGTTTGCAGGTGGGCATGAGCAGAGAAGAAAGATAATTACTGTCCAGTCAGCACTGAATCTCCAGAGTTTGATGGCATACACTGGTTTGGAAGAAGGTACTTTTTTTTTTTCATGGCATCAGGAAAGGAATCACAACCAGTCTGACATCAAATTAATTGCTGCTGGGTGTTGAGGCACTGATGCTATAGAGGGGTCTGATTACCAGAGATTCAAAATTAGAGTGGGTATTGGAGCCTGTGAATGTACTAGGCAGTGAGGAGATACCTCTTTGTGTTACTTGTGCTGTTTCTCACAAGAGGACAGGACCAGGGGGTTCCTAGGAGAGTGCTTGACCTGGTCTGAAGCATGAAGGAATGACAACAGCACTCAAACAGCTGGAGATTATTAAAAAGAGGAATAATTACCTTCTTCTGTGTGATTTTCTGCCAAGTGGTTTCCAGTTGAGTTAATAATGTTGCAGTCCAGCTAGAGAATGTCCTTTATATCTTGTCTGCCTTATTGGGTAGACAATAGGATGAGTTTATGCTGTAGGAATTATGAAAAGTGTGAAAAAGAATTCAATCATTTCACAAATTCTTGAAGCTAAGGCCAGTGATCAAAAGTTGCAGTGTTAGCATAATAGGAGGCATAGAATGACTTCTTAAAGGCCCATTTGATGTATTTTTGGCACAACTACATTTCTGGTTGAGAAATCTTTGACACTCTTGAAGCATTAGTGCTGTCAGCTGGACTAAATGACTGGTTAATACTTTTACAGAGTAGTGCTTTATCACAGAGATGGCTTTCCTCCCTCTTCTTAATGACAAGCAATTTGAGTTTCTGTAATAGCTTGCTCATATTCTGTGCTATTTCAGGGGGCTGGTTTTTTTCCTCCTTTGGTTGTGGTGTTTTTTGGTTTTTTTTTTTTTTTTTGTTTTGTTTTCTTTTCTTTGGTTTTGTTTTGGGGATAACCTCTGAGTTAAATATTGAGGATTTGCCATTTAAAAATGATCCTTAGAGTATTAGTAGAAGTTGTCAGTGAGATCACTGCATTGTTTTATATAAGCATTTGTATCCTGGTTGTCCTGTCTTGAAAACAAAAGCCCTCACATTTCAACCATTGTTTATGGTTTTTGAGATTAATTTTGGCTATACAGAGAATTCAAAAATGTTATTGAAAGTCTTTTCAATATGTTGAAAATGTTGACCAAATAATGACTCAAAAAGGGCTCCAGTTTTCAGAAATTAGAAGACAGTAAGTCACACCTCATTTTCTAGTGAACAATATTAATTTCTATCCTCGTGGAATCTTTTTTAAAATAATTCAAGGGGATGTTCACAATCAGATCATGTATGTTCTGGAAAATAATCTCAATACCTATAACTTTAAAAAAAAAATTATCAGAAGATTTAGGAAACGGGACACATTCTGACTTTCAGAGTAATTATTAGAAATTTTAAACTTTGAACTAAGGATTCAAGGTTTGAACCAAGGATCCAAGATCTGAACAAAATGAGAATGGTCTTCAGTAGCATCTACATAAACATCAACTTACACAGAAATAAAATTAATAGAAATATTATCCAGTCTTTAAAATGTTTTTATCTGGTAGGTGTGCCAGCAGCTGAGGTGCATTATAATGGTGAAACCCATATAAATATGGTGATGATGGTTGGTCAGAGTTGGTTGGGAAATTTCCTGTGTAACCAAATTTTCAACAAATAACAGTGATTAATTTATTTTCATAATTTTAGGGTTTATTTTTCTTAATTTTGGGAAAAAACCCCAAACCAAACTCAAACAAAAGAACCCACAAATGTCTGCAATGATGAACAGCAAACCAAATATTTAACTTTGTGTTAGATCACCTGAATAGAAATAGCTCAGTTTGCTTCATTAATTCAGAAGGGTTTTCTGGATCACTCCAACATTAAACTAAATCTTCCTGTGTAGTGGCAGTATATATACTATGGCAGATATATTTCAGATTCCTTTTTTCCCCCCAGATATGCAAATCTTCTCCCCAGATCTATAGTAAACATAAAAACATCCATTCTGACCAATTCTGCCAAACAGAAATCCCATGGTTTTTATCTATATTACTATGGATCGGATAGTAAGCACAGTAAAAAAAAAAGCCCAGACCGGTTTGTGGGTTCTAACTAAATTTAATGTTTCTTGAGAAACACAGGGAAATACCTTCCAAAAGCCAAATATTAAAATTTCTTAGAGAAAAGTGAAAACTGTTCTTATTGCTTGTTTCCTATTCCAGTAATACTATGGAATAAAGGATTTGCAGTTAGGCCTCCAGCCAAAAAAGACCATAAACACATGTTCAGACACATGAATAGTCTCATCAAAGTCAAAACATTTAATTTTTATCCTCAAAACATGTAGGGTTTTATAATTGGCACTTGCAGACTAGACTGATGAATTAGCAGCAGATTTACAACTTAATAAAACCCTCTTACTTTCCATATTCACATGAATAGGAGTTTGTTAGTATTTCACAGAGTCTGAAAACTTTGGCCAGATCTTCCATGAGTGAGACATTGCTTTGTTGAAATGAAAGCAGAAAACCTGGTCTGTTTATGTAAATATCTAGACAGCTGCCCTGTCTGGGTTTGGTTTGCTTTGTTTTCTTCCCTGCTTATCTTTTAACTTAATAGCTGTGCCACATGTCTGTTCTGTTTTGAGGCTACAGTATTCAAGAATGTGCTAACCAAGATGTTGCATTTTCAAGCCTTATTTGAATCTACAATTTAAACCATTTAACTCACTTTTTAGCTTTTTTGGGGGGCAAAAAATCTGAGGTCACCTTTGGTAACTCCCATTCTGAATCATACCCACTGCCCACATAAAATATTCAACACACTGGTGACAACTTCCTCCAGAGAGGCTTTTTCTGGTTAGGTCGTGATTTGTTTGAAATCTCCAGGCTTTCAAAATAGGATGAAGCAATTTATAAATATGATTGTGGCAATAGAAGGGTCAAGACTTCGCAACTGGGTAGCTAAAATTTAAAAATTAAGTAACTTGGATTTCAATAATTCATGAGTCAGCTCCTCCTGACTTTCCTATTTCCCCATTCAATTTTAAGGGAGGGAAGTTGTAGTTCTGCAAGTTTTGGATACAGAAAGGTATGTAACGCCTGTTACTGCTTTTCTTACAAAGAATTGTGAAAAAACTTCCATTTCCAGTTTCTGTGATGCCTGTTTCTCCTGCAGCTTCTTTCCTTCTCTCTGTCCTGCTGCCACTCCTGGAAGCTTTAGGAAGTCCAGCCACTGAGTTCTACAAAATGGCCTGTGGACTTCTCTGTTCTCTACCTGAATTTTGTTGTTTGCTGCCAGTTTCTCTTTCCTCCTATATGCTGCCATTAAATAAAAATCCTGGCTTAGCAGTCCTCCTTTTAGAATCTCCACACTGGGGCAGAACACTCACACGTATCCTAAAATGAACTGTGTGCCCTCATCCTCAGGACAATTGGTGCATCTCCCTTGTGTGTGCTCTTACCCTTAGCATATGGAAAGGTCACTTGGAAAGGCTTGACCCACAATGCCAAGGTAGTTGCTTGTCAATCCTGTGATGAACTTCAGCTTTACAGGAAGATATTTTAGTTAACAGTAACAGCAGCAGGAAAAAAAAGAAAAAAAAAAAGGCCATGGAGGTAGAACTGCTAAGTGGAATTAGTATTATTAAAATCTTGTAAATGAAAAGCAGTTCCAAATTGTCAAATGTGTTTAATATTCTTTAGGACCATGCTCAAGTTGGTCAATTAAGATTTGGAGGATTTTTACGCTCTGCTTGGAGGAAGGAGGGGAAAAAATTCTATGGTTGGGAAAACTTGAAAGGATTTAACGCTCTGTTAGAAACCTGGCGGGCCTCCCGCTCTGATCAGGAGCTGTGCTCTCAATGAAATGATCAAAAGAAGATGCCAGCTTGCGTACACATTTTCTCTGACTGCACTGCAAGAGTGGGCTCTGTTTTCAGGCCTCAGTGTGAAGAAAACAATTGGGTAAGAGAAGGGAATGCCAGAGGGTTTAGGATTCCTCCTGCGGCGTGAGCTGCGCTCTGCAGCCCGCCTCCCACTCAGGCGCTCCGCTTTCAAGATTATCGATGATTACAAGTTATCAATTTCCTTGCCTTTGAAACAGAGCTTGTGTGGGCTTGAGCGATGCCTCGCGATCTGCTGGGCCTTGCGAGGGAGCGGTGCCAGCAGATGTCACTGTGAGCCCTCGAGTGGCACGGGCCTGGCGGGGCCGCGGCTGCCCGCGGTGTCCCGGGGCTCCGGGAGCCTCCGCAGGGACCGTGCCCATCGCGGCAGGCCCCGAGCTGCTGCTGTCCGCTCCGAGCTGAGGGAACACACACAGCCAGGGAACACACACAGCCCTGAGCACCACAAGGGCACTGCCCTGGGCACCGCCGGGACACGGCCCTGAGCACCGCCGGGACACAGGCCCTGAGCACCACAAGGGCACGGCCCTGGGCACGGCCGGGACACAGGCCCTGAGCACCACAAGGGCACAGGCCCCGACCACCACAAGGGCACAGGCCTGCCCGCTCAGCCTCCATCCCTGCCCAGCCCACGGATGCAGGAGGATGATCTGTGTGATGTGAGAGAGATCCACGGCTGTAATGAGCAGGGTTATGAGCTGTCCCTGGGTGACAGGGATGCTACAGCCGAGAAACAGCAGCTTTATGTAGTATCAAAGCCTGGGCTCCACAGTTAGAGAACTTAAAAACCACAAGCAAGCAAACAAAAAAAATAAACAAAACAAAAACCCCACCACAATCCTGAAGAGTTTTCTAAATATTGTGTTTGGGCAGTCCTGAAATGAATATTTTATTTGATTGGCTTATGTTGAGGATTTTCCTGGCACATTGCATACAAATGCTGGAAGCAGAATAAACCTGGTGGTGTTTTGTAGGCTTTGAGTTTCCCTAAGTAAGATAAGAATTCATAACATGTGAGGCAAAACAAAAGAGCAGACAAGGATAGAGCTGGAAGCAACAGAGGAGTTACAGGCTGTAACAGAGGTAACAGGCTGTGGAGATGGAGAAGGAAGAAGGAGAAGCAGGAAGTAAAGAAGCTTCTGATGAAGTAAGAGGACAAGGGATGCCAAAATATCCTGACACTGGAAATGCTAAATGTGGCTTTTGCCACAATTTTAAAAATTCAGGTCTAGACAGCAAGGCTTTTTAAATTCAGACCTTTCTAAACCTTCCAGCTGATTTCTTTACAGTGCTATTCTTCGTGGCCTTTGCTCTTTTGCAAAGACACCAGGGAGAGGTTTCTGTGGGCTGGCAGCTCTCATCCCATCTTGCCCCAAACTCCACCCATCAAGAACACATCAGAACTGTATTCAGATCAGATCTGCTGTCAAGGAAGGGTTTCCTTTTGGTGTATGAGGAAAGTTGGCATGGTCCATGCAGGACATTTCTGTTTGTGGTGAAAACAGATCAGGAGAAAAACTGGAAAGTTCTCACTTTGATGGCTTAGTTCTGGTGATTTATCATATTTATAGATGTACAGCTGATATGGCCATGAGTATGCTACTCCTCAACAGCATTGCTTTTTTTTTAATTGTATTGATTTCAGATTGCAAAATCAGGTAACAAGCATAGGTAGAAAGGGGAATCCTCTTTTTGGACTTAATAGATAAGAAAAAGCAGAAGAATTATTGAAGTATCTGTTCCTGTGCTTCTAAATGTACAAATAACTCCTCAGGAGTCTCAGAATGTGATTATTACAAGGCTTGAGTCAATATTCAGTCAGAGTCCTCCAATTTTCCTTTAGAAATGTCTATAATAGACTGATTTTTACCCACTCTATCCTGGTGTTAATACAGAAGTGAGAGAGCTCTGGTCTGAGGAAAAGCAGTGGCCTTTAATGGAGTTTTCAGCTAAGAATTTTTTCATTTGTTGGACCTCAAAGTGGTGCTTTTGAAGGAGGCTTTATTACTCATATGAACTCCAAGGAGAAGGCACTTGTTTGAAGGGATGACTTTGAAGGTTTAAGGTGAAGAACTTTGGTGCAAACGTGATAACTTTACAATAAATAAGTTGGCCCAGACAAGCTTGTTTCAACTCAAAAAATGAGACCCAGGGTGAAGTAAAGTTGTGTTACTTTAATACATCCTTTGTTGCAGATGTGTCCCTGGAGCGTAAGGTAGAAACATCTGGGTGGCTAAAGAGAATATTTTCAGTTTCTTGGGCTAGCATGTTACCTTCTGGAGGTTTAGATCACTGAAAGGACAAGCAATAGCTAAATAAACACTCTTACAAGTCAGTGTCAGAGGAAATCACATATTGTAGGTTTGTATGTTACTCCCAACTGGTTATGCACTGCTTGCATCTAATTGTTAACATATCACAAAAAATATCATTGGGATTTATAATAGTTCAGCTGCACATAGAATGTGTGCTTACACATTCTCCACAGATGGTTTCAGCATTACCTCAGTTTCTGCATACAGAGCTTTTTTTGTAGCTTTTGCTAGGTGTGTATTGAGAAAGAAATCTGTATAATGCATAGCTGAAGACAAGGAGTTTATTTTGCAGCTCCATTCTGGATTTCCACAGCACGTGCCCCAAGGAGGATCATCTCTGCTGGGAAAATTTCTTTCTTTGGCAGAGCCTTCCTGGTAGAAAGATGTGCAGAGACAGGTGAGGGTTGTGTTTGCATGTATGGCTGTCCTCAGGGTGTGAAAATCCTTCATGACCTCCAGGGAGTGGCTGGAGTTAAAGCTGTCTGACAGCAAAATTTATGTACGCACAGACTGCAGGTGGAATTGAGTCAGGAAGGTGAAATGATTCCCTGATTTGCTTTCCTCTGTTTCTCTGCCATGCAGCCCCATCAAACTGTGATCTCTCAAGGGATGTAGCTGAGTCTGAAGAAATCCATGAAAGCACAGCATGAGTTGTGAGTTCCTTGTGCATAGAGGTCTATAAACATTTAACTTCACTTTAAGGGTGCCAAGTGACCAATTTGTGTCAGCTTTGCCTTGAAAATCATAGCATTTTATGACTTTTTGGTGATTATCAGTAAAAGCACAAGAACAGAAAGCTTGTTGTTTCATCCTTAGCAGTATTAGGCACTGGATGATCTTAAAGTTTTCTTTTACCTTTTGAAACATTCACAAATTTGATTTTCCCCTGCAACTGCCTCTAAGATGAGTGAAAGACAGAATTGGGCTTTTGAAACTTATCTCCTTCCACCTCAGCCCCTTAATGGTTACAGTGACATTGACAATTACCCTAGATCCTTGGCAGCAGCTAGAAATGGGACTCAGGGTATTTACTTAGGCCAGACCTTTGTCTTAATTGTCTAATTTATTTGGAAGTAGGCTATGTGTAAGGTGTTTGAGCTAATGGTGAAGAAGTAACCATAACACTTGAATTTCCTGAGATTCAAGTGCTTGATTTCTCAGCTGATGTTGCTTTGATGTTTTTTCAGTGCTACCAATCTCATCCAGCTGTTTTATGGCTCCTACTCCCAGTAGGAGCCTTTTGCCATTGCTGGACTTGGCTTGCTCTAGAAGAGATCAGGGTTTCTGTAGGGTGCCAGATTTTCTTTTTTAAAAACACTGGCTTATACTGATTTAGACAGGGCAATTCTAAGCACTTTGTCATAGAAAGCTTATGCCAGAGCTTCTGAAACAGAAAGCCCTTGAGTAAAACTGTAATCCTAGCTTGGAGCAAGAGGCAATAGACCTGTCAGTAACACAGTGGCATGGGAAATGCTGCTGTAATTAAAGTTCGCTCAGCTTTTCCTTTATAAATCTCTATAATAGAGGCCTTGTGTGTTAGTGCAGCCATTTCAATTTATGTTGTTTTGAAACTAGGTAATCAGATTTCCAACTTCAGTGGCATCATTTCTCCATGAATGTATTTAGCAAAAGTTTGTCTATTCTTCTGTGTGGTGCTGTAAAAATAAAAAGAATGGTTTTTAAACCTTCCAGCCCAGGTTGTTTGGGAAGCCTGGTAAACTCAGGTGCAGGACTAGGGAGTTTTACAAAATGATAAAAAAATCTTGTAATACTAATTTCTTTTAGTTGAGCAAGATTTTGCCCAAAGTTTTGCAAAACTTTTTTTTTTGATAGCTCATAAGCTTTTCAAAAAGTACATCTACTGGTTACTATGTTGCAAAATGCATATCTTTATTTAGGAGGTTTAAACAACACTGGTTTTTTTTTTTCCTATGAAAAATATTTTATAAATACCTTTTAAGTTTTAAGTACCTCTTGGTACATGGAGTGGCCTAAGATCCTATTGAAGTCAGATAATGGGTGCAATTAAATGTAAAGCTTTTTAACTTTTTAATTGCAGCATTATTATTAATTTCTTCAAAGGTTAGAGAGAAAAAAAAACCAAAGTAAATATACTGTGCCTTCATGTCAATATTTGCTTAAATTGTTTGTAGAATAAAAGCCCACAGAGAAATGGAAATCTGTTCATGTTGCAGTAGCAGAAGTGGCAAAAATTGCCACACAAGTCATTAAAAATTAGTAACTCTTCTGTCTGGATGGTTAACCCATTGAATTAGATTATAAAGACTTCACAGTGTCTCAGAATTTTGCCTCTGGTAAGAAGTAGAGGAATATTACTACTTTTTTTAAAATTTATCTTTTTCATCTTTTTTTTTTTTTTTTTTTTTTTTTTTCTTTTTTTTTTTTTCATCTGCTTAATACAGTCTGAGATTGTCCTATGTACTTTTAGGTGACATTGGTTAATTCATTCTGAATCAGCTGTAAACCCCTTCCAGATGTAACTCACAAATACAGAGCTCTGCAGTTGTGTCCAACTTCAGACAAAGAAATTTGGATTCTCTTGCTTGGCTATCAGCACAGTAGATACCAGATTCTTGACTTATTTTATCTATATCTCTATCTATATCTTTATCCATATCTATGTATCTATCTATCTATATATATATTGAAATATTATTTCATTTCTGTGAAAAAGCATTGTTTGGATGTAAAGGATTTTCAGCAAGGCTTGCAACTCAGACATTGCAGCCCAGTGCCCATACAGAACAAGGAGGTAACCAGCAATTCTCACTTGGACTCTGCAACACAGAGTTTGGGAAATATTATTAGTTATTATTATTATATAATATATATTATTAATGTTATTATATTAATTTTATTACGATCTTGTGTTTGTAAACTCATAGTAAGCCACTGGTCCTTATTCATCTCCTCAGAAAGTGGGAAGAAGTGCAATCCCTGCTAAACCCTAACCAAATTTTGATTCTGGAGATAATGACAGGAGCAGATTCTTTTCATTATACCTTCTGCTGGAACCAAGGGACAGGAATGGATGGAAGGGAAAAGAAAGTTACTGATGAAACTGGTGGAAGAAAGGGAAACTATGGACTTAA